ATGAATGTTCTAATTTGCGTAGATGTTTACATCCTGGCATTTCTTCTTGGCAACAACCAGATGAGTTTAAGCTGGGGCTAAGTCAAGATCCGACATAAAAGCACATGGGACAGTCCCATAAGCGCTCTATCCTTATCTTCAGCAGCCAACCATGAGTCTCATCTGCCATGGTACCAGTAGCGGTTGTACTATATATATATGTCTTGCCTTTCCACTGAGTTTAGACCAGGTGTCCTGGTCACTCTCCCCCGCGCCATTCTCTACGCACTATAATGATATATTCCGGCTTCCTCACTGTTCGCTTGCTCCCAAAGGGTCCCAACCACTAGATTGTTATGCATCAAGTCACAAACCAGTAGTGCAGCTCCAGTCTGTCCATTTTCCCCCCACACCTGCATCACCGTAAGGGCTGGTGCTTTGTACCAAATTAGAATCAGAAGATCAAATTACCTGGGCTAGTTCCAGGTAAAATTGCTGGGGAAAACAAGAACCCCCCCCCCCCCCCCCACCACCACCACAAGTACGTCGTAAGAGTCGACAAATTGGGGGAGGAAGAATATCAAATGGATTGGTCACTTATTACCAGCTCCTTCCAACGTCACTTAACAGTAAATAAATAATGATGATCATAAGTTTTGCTTCCACTACAGACCTCGGTGACATACAAGCGACACTATTTACAATTAATGTTTACCAGAAAACTACATCAAGCACGACCATGGAGATAACTGCTGCTTCCAGAGCACTCGAGTGGGCAGCAGAACAAGCAGCCGCCCATGCGGTAACTGTTTCAGACTCTATGAAAAGGCTTCAGGAAATTGTTACAGGCAGTCGACGCTCTGAATGGGTAAAAAATCATTCAGATGTCCAGTTAACCTTCATCATCTGGATTTACACACCTGGGTACGCAGGAGTAAATGGTAATGAAAGAGCTGACAAGCAATACGAACAGGAAGAAGCATGGACAGAGCTGATATCATCAACACTGTATAGACTAGTTTGGGGGATAATGGTGAAATTTCTTGGCGCTAACACGACTGCCTAACTGATGAGTTAAACTTGGTATAGAACGTCTGTCGTCTTCGAGGTAAAGACAGGAGATACCTATAACCAACTCCTCATGGGAACAGTCAGCAGAGGTACCTTGGAGTGGCTGCTGCATTTAAGGACTGAGCACACATGGGGATGCACCATGTGCAAGAACGTCGATTGCGATAACATAACACAACTAAATGTTGAAAAGAATAAAACCTTTCTTGCACTGCCGATGTATTCTCGCTGATATCAAAGGCATCAATTAAGTTAAAGGTGCTGAAAGTGTTACGATTCGGCAATCAACATAGCAAGGGAATTAACAAATAAAAAAACTTCAAATCTCTATTAAAAAATACAGATAATCTCCCTTATTTAACTTTCCCTAAGCGGTGTTTGGAGAAAAGTCATTATTCAACATATCAACACTTTTAACAGTGTTGTAATAAAGAAACATAAATATACAACGATATCAATTAATCAATCCTCATCGCACCCAAAAGCAAAAAAGGCAGAGACAAACTGTCGCCATTCAATTCTATCACAAGCTACCCTCTCTATCTTCAGCTTTATCTTGAGTTCAGCCTCAAAGGTTCGCCTATAAGTGCCTACCTCTTATATACTGTCCTTGTGGTGCACATTCCATTGCCTGTCCCTAACATCTCTTCATTCTGAGGACATGTCCAATCCAAACCCAACTTTGTTTTTTGATTTCTAAATTTACATCTTTCAAGTCTGTCATCTGTTGTAATCTAGAATTGCTAATTTTAATGGGAACCACAACAATCTTTTCCTTCCTTCAAAACATCTCAGCATGCTCTCTATCTTTCTAGAAATACTCTCCTAACACATGTTTTGTTTATCCTGAGTTAAGTTTTAGTGCTGTAAATGTTTGATCTCCAGACACTCTGGAGTCTCTTGTAAGCAGCACTTGTCTTTGCAATTCTCTGATTTTATTAAATAAACAAATTGGTTTTATTAACCACTACATTTCTATCCCAGGAGATATTGCTTCCTGCCTGCTCTTCTGACAAAATTCTGTCTATTGACATTTTCATTCTGTTGCATATCACCCTACACCCTACAGAATGCTTTTCCTGGTACAGAAAATAATGTTATGACTCTCCAGTTGTTGCAGGTGAGAGATAACCTTTCTTCGGCAGTGGGATGAATACAACACCATTTTTCCAGTCTGTTGGGACCACTTCATTCATCCATATTCTGTTGAATACTCAATGTAATGCTTTTGCTGTAAACTGTGGGTCTGCCTTTAACATGTCAGAAATTATTTGGTCTTTACCCGGTGCCTTCCCATTCTTTATAATGCTTATTGTCATTTTTATTTCTTTAACACTGATTTGCCCAATAACCATTTCTAGGTAAAAAAAAAGTAAGTAAAGGACCCTTTTCCACGCCTTTAAGCGTATAGGGCATATAGGGCTAGATCTATATTTGTAAAGACCAATCGGCACAAGATGGGTGATGTGGTCAGCATCACACCGGCCACCTCTACTTCCCGAGACTCCACCCGGTACCCACTTAAGGCTAGGTCAACCTGGGAGTCAAGGTCATTTTTGAAAAAAAAGTCCAGCTCCGTCAGGGAGCGAACCAACGGCCTTCCGATTCGCCACTAGGCCACGGCGACTCCCACCATTTCTAGGAGTTGCCACTAGGATATCTGATGCTGGCTTTACCAGCTCGCTAAAATATTCTTGCCACATGTGAACTTTTCATTGATATGAACAGATAAGATCTTTTGGCATTTATAAACCTAAGCTACAGGGTACAGCAGTTAAAGAGAAGAGGCAGACCAAGAAAGATTTGGACAAAGCCAGAGCAGTTGGCCACTAGAAAAAGAAAGTTGTAAACAGTCAACTGTAACTCCATGACTTTACGACACTATTTTGCAACAAGCATAGTCCTATTGCCAAGTCTGTCAGTATGCATAAACTATAGGCTATAATCTAGAAGACGGATTGGTCAGTTCTCCTCCTCCCCCTCTTCTCGGACACTGATCACACCTGAACACTTTCTTGTACCCAGTTTTCTGGCTGTAAACTCTGGCAAAAAGTTCTAGATGTCTGTCCACACCTGGACTGTTGTTTAATTCAGAGCTTAAAAGTTTTGTGTGCACGTCCGTTTTCCAGATCTGGCTTATCTGTAAGCACCTCTCACGCAGATGTGCTGACTTTGAAGGAAACACCTCTACTTAGCCCTCTCTGACAACATAACTGTTAGGGGTTTGTGAGTCTCTTCTTTGTTTTCCAAGAAGAGAGAGACAGGACATCTAATGGAGCCTTTAGAGATTGTATCCACCACTGCTCCTAAGTATAGCAAGAGACTGAGTGTTGAAGACCCACTGCATTTTATACCAGACACATTTATCTCTGAGACACAGAAACAGCTGTGTCACACACCCTTTAGAAGAAACAAACAAGGAAGAAGATACTCCATATAAAGGTACTGGGCCCCATTTTGGGGGTTAAATAAACAACACCAAACTCACTGCATTCCAATATGCGTGTTGTAAAAGGTTAATATTTAGAAGTTTGTTGAATCTAGATGTGTTGAGCTGAAAGGCAGCATTGATGACAACTGCAAAACAACATGACAGCCCTGCTTTTAAGGACAAACACAGAAGAAGAGGACCTGGAAAGATATTACAAGAGACAACGAAGGAGATTTGCTGCGGCAGACGCAGGCTGAAAGTGGGCATATTGATCTCTGAGGCAGAGAACTAGATGCCACACACTCCTCCTCCAACAATAAAATTACAAAACAAAGCAGATATCAGGACACAAATTGGAAAGAGGGTGTAATGATATGAGACACTGGGTACTGAAAATCTGTGGCAGCCAACCATCACTGGAATACTTCCCATCCATTATACAATCATGAAGATATTATCAACCTCCCCACACCAAAGAAACAGACCATTATATTTAGACTGCCTACTGGACACAACACACTCTGCAGCCATGTGCACAGACATTTCAAGACTGAGCTTTTCCCATGTGGATAAGAACCATAGAACACTAAACATGCGCTGCCACACACTTGCAGTAGGGCAGGGGCTCCAAACCTTTTCAGGTGATGCTCCTTCCCCCTTGCGTATATGGCAAGACACCCTGCCCCCTCCAACCGAACAAAATGGGATCAAAAAGAGGAGTTCTCTGTTCTTAATCTACAATCAAATGCAGGTATTGTCAAATTAAATTAGAGTTATAACATTAGATGTACAAAATGCTCATGAAAACAAATTTGTCCTTTATTCATATACATTATTTATAATTAAATTTTAAGAAAAGTTCCTTTAACAGATTACTACAAGTACAAATAAACTCTTTTTCAAACACTAATTGATGCCACCTGGAACCTGCTCACGACCCCACTAGGGAGTTGGGGGGGGGGGGGGGGGGGTTTAAAAAAAATGGGGGGAAGCAAGTTGAAGACCACTGCATTGAGAGATCCCAGGTTTGGCTGGAGATGGCATTCCAATGAAAACCAGATTATATGGAACAATGGAGAACATGAGTTACATCAACAAGGACTTCATGGAGACCTGCGACCTTTTTTTGTGAAGGACATTGGCAGGGAAAATAAAGAAGAAAGAAGACCACAAACTAACCAAAATTGGATTGTAAATGTAAGAAACTGCTTCCCATACTGAAGCAATATCTAGATCTATATGTTTACAGACCAATCAGCACTCCATGGATGATGAGATCAACATCACATCAACCCTCTTTATTTTCTTAAATATTTCCCACAGGCGGGGGGGGGGGGGGGGGGGGGGGGGGGCTGGGCCGACCTAGTGACCTAGTGACACCAAAATCAGTTAAAACAAATCTGCCTTGTGGATTGGGACCCAAAAACTGTCCAGTCGACAGGCAAGAGTCTACCCACAGCTCCCAAATTACATGAAAGATTTAGCCGGTCAGACATAACACACACAGAAAATTACTCACAGCTAGAGGGTGATTTGCTCTGTCCTGAGTCATCATCATCAAGTGATTGTCTGAAATGTTTTGGGCTCCTCACAGACAGGTGCGAGGACTACCTGAAACATTTATGGATACGATAGGAAATATATTAAAACATAATAGACAATCAAACTAAATTCACAGTTTTTACTTCTTCATTAGGCGTAGGCAGAGCATCATTAAACAGGCAGGGAAATGAGAAAGAAATGGACTGAGGAAACAAGGACCTCCAACAAATAGATTAAGATTTTTATGTTGATGGAGGCAGGAAGCCAAGGTACTAGACTAGATTCCCACCAAGATTTCGAACAAGCGGCAAGGATAGAACGAAATGGAGGAGTGAACTTTGAGTCCTACGTCACATAAAACGGAACAATAAGATAATGAAGGAATACTCTTCTCCAGTCTTTCAGAGCCTTTGCTGCAGATATCAACCACCTTATTTCTGTTGGTAACTCCAAGTGTTTGCAGGTCAGCTTGGATATTACCTCTCGCTTTCTTGGTCTGCCAAGATCTACTCACTCTCGTTCATCTCTGTGTATGCAGTTTCAGTCTCTCTCTAATCTGCCATTCTCTCTAAATAATTTCTGATAACATTACTAATAGTAGGTATTATAACAAAGAACATCAACCTGAGACACAGGAGTGTGTGCCCCCTCTCCCCTATCTTGTGTACAAATACTATTCATTACAAAATAGTTTGTGACAGGACACATTTAAATGGATGCTACATCAAACATATATCACTGATAGTGCACTGGGTATCACATGAAAGTGGCACACGTTCTTCTAGGCCTACATCGTTTCGGCAAAAGAGTACTACTTAATATACAGTATTGTCACTATGACTGTATTCACTTGGATAAGGTCTTTATTACTTATTATTATTATTTATTAGATTTATTATCTTTAATGATCGACCCCAGAACCTTCTCCTCAGTATGAGTAGGCATCAAAGTTGACTGAAACAATAAGGACACAGTTCACAGTTATAGTTCAAGTATAAAGAAACTGGTCACGATCACAAGTCAAGAAAAACATGAGAAACAAAACAAAAGTGGTAACTAAAGTCATTAAAGATTATAATTATTTCATTTTACTACTCACAAAAGTTGCAAACAGCTTAGTCACTAGTGTGTTTCAGTCAGAACTGACAAGCAGGTTAGTAAGACAATGTCCGAGTCCAAACAACGTCGTTAAATTGCTCTCTATAAGGGAAATTAATTGAATACAAGCTGGAATGTGGAATGATCATCTTCCTAAATATAGCTCCCAAATACGGAAGCCGCCATTTTGGTTCATGTCAAAATGGCGGCCACAGTCAGTTCTGCAGAGACATGGGGCTTCGTAGCAACAGTTCGTTTCTTATCTTTGAAAGTATGCATCTTTCCAAAAACATAATTAAAAGTTTTCTAAACGAAAATGTTCGCAAAATATCCCCAAGACTTCAGAAGGAAAAGAAAATACTGATACTAATGAGCACCAAGACTAAATAATCAATAAAATCGCGCCACGACCGATCTCCTCAGATCTTGCAAGAAAAGCATGACTATCATTATCACTATCCCAACTAAATAATAAGCTCACAAACGTCTTATTTAGCGGATTTTAATGAATGTATCCTTGCAAACTTTAAAATGTCCCATGTTTAACTTGTAACAATATGAGAAAGGTGTGAGTGTTAGCGACAATGGAAACTTGCAGGAAAACGAATCAGAAAATAAGCTGTTCACAGCGACGTCCCAGGCTCGAAAACGCCCCTTTCCCCGTCAACATATTTAGCCTCCACCTACCTGATATAAGCCAGAATGACTCCGCTAAAACTGCCTGCCTCAGAAGCAAATGGGTGAAGAAATCTACAGACCAAGATCTCCCGTATGCTGGCTGGTACTCCTTCAGTTAGCCATGTTATCCACAGACAAGTGGTCGTCCAAGAGGAGGTCACATGGATACCGTACCGGAACTAGTTCAAGTCCGTGCTTGTGAAATAGTGCTGGGAGAGAGCCAAGAAATGGGGAGAAAATGCATCTGTCATTGACTTTTATTTCTCATTTTACTTTCTTCTATATTTCAGAAGTAAATATTACCACTTTTCTGGCACAAGACATTAACTGTTATTCATTTTTGAACGCGACGTCAAAGCTGGTTTTCTCTGATTTGTTTATAGGCCTAAGTAGGTTTCTATGGTATACCTAAGTAACAGAAAATTAAAAATATTTCTGTGTTAAAACCACTTTAATGAACAGTTATGTATAAAAGTCTCATATAAAATGCACGATAAGGTTAAATTTCATGTTCAGCTCAAACTGTAATATTCTTTCATAATGAGAGTGTTAATTTTCTTTTTAATTTAAATCGAACCTAACGACGCATTGTGGACGGCCGGTGAAAGTGTATAGCGAGCATTAATAATTCATTCGCACATGCTGATTGACAAGAACCTCTGTCTATAAGTCTTAATGACCATTAAATTAAGGTGGTATACTATAAAACGTAGAAATACCGGTCTGAATAACAGTTTAACTGGTAAAACTTTGTAAACTAATCAAAGCGGTCGTGGACTATTTTCTCAAGGTGATGTGTCCATTCAGGGTAAGCCATGTCGTTTTGTCTCGTGGCAGAATGGAGATGGCGCGAAATACGACTGTGTTAACTAACAAATATACAGTAACACACCACGACTGAAATATTATAGATAAAATATACTTATTATATATATATATATATATATATATATATATATATATATATATATATATATATATATGTGTGTGTGTGTGTGTGTGTGTATGTAATTATATGTGCATGTCATAACACGGCTTGAAAACAATAAAGCAACTAGTGCTGATTGAATTGCTGCTGAACTTATAAGAGAAGGTGGTTATGCATTACATCTTAAGATATATCAATAAAATTAGGGAAATTGAAACAAGAGTGTACTATAGGAGAAACTACAAGAATACATGGTTATGCAGATTACACAGATACCGTTGGAGAAAATGAACTAGACTGTAAAAACAACGACTCTTTTAAAAGAAGCAGCTCACAAAATGGGGCTAGTTATCAATCAAGATAATACAGAATACATAGCAATAATAAGACAGAGGTATGATATAAACTACTGCCACATACAAGTCGATAATATGAAAATTAAACGGTCGGAAACATGTAAGTACTTGGGTGCAATCTTCAAATGCTCCAACATGATGAGAGAAGAAATATAATCTAGAATACAATCTGGTAATAAAGTATACTATACCCTTCAATAGGGAGTGGCCGAGCGGCTAGACGCTCGCCGCGGATCGGAAGGTCGTGGGTTCGCTCCCTGGCGGAGCCGGACTAATTTTCAAAAATGACCTTGGCTCCCAGGTCGACCCAGCCTTGTTACATGACTCTGAAACTTAGAGCACAACTAAAAGAGATTAAGCCTTATTAAAAATTTTCGAAAACAAGAGTCTTACGACGCATCTTCGGACCAATCAAAAATGCAAATGGCGGGGAATGGGGAGTGAGAAACAACTATGAAATTTATAAAATTCAGAATCTGTTTAAATAACCACAGACATCTTGAGATCTAATAGATTGAAATGGCTGGGGCATACTAAGAGAATGTCCGATGACAGGTAGGTAAAAATTGTATACACAAGGGAGCTGAACAGTCGTAGACCACGAGGCAGACCAAGAAGACGATATCTAGACAGACATGCAAACACATGATGTCACCAACTGGAAAGAGAAGGCTAACTATAGATATCAATGGAAGTGATATCAGCAGCAATAAACTTCAAGGGCTCGTAACGCTTAAGAAGAGTAAGAAGAAGATGATGATATATATATATATATATATATATATATATATATATATATATATATATATATATATATATATATATATATATATATATACATACATATATCCTTAGGTAAACATTAAATTAGTTGAGGAAGCTGATCAGAAAACCAACAGCAACGAGTGACCAGATGACCCCATCCACGTAGCCGGTAACTAGACTGGGCCTTATGGTTTGTATATGACACCTTCACAATATCCATACTATAAGGGGATAGTTAAGCAGTCTTGGCCAGTGTAGGTTGTTTCACACAATTTAATTCCTTCTTTATTATTCTCCTTCATCAGTTCCTTTTTCTCAGCTCACCGTCTTTGTCTTATATCTTTATTCTTTATCTATAGAGAATTGATGATGATAGAGACATATATTTTTACGTGTCCTGCAAATGAATTTCTGTATTTGTTTCTGTATGTTCTCCTTGCTGTCAACATGTAAGCATTCCTTAGATGTCAGTGACTTATTTAGCTTTTGAAAAGTCTTCCAAGGCTTTTCTATCCTGTTTATATAGGGTGCATGTTAGGGGGGTGTGGTCTATTGTGTTTTCACGAAAGCAGTCTAAGCATAAGGGTGCTGTACGTTTGGCTTTCCAGTATCTAAGTCGTAATCTCTATATTTTGTTATTTGCTGGAATGTTTAGGTTGTCTGTGATTTGTGATGTCAGAGTGGGTTCTCTCAAACATTCGCACGCCCTTCTGCCAGTAATACACATTTTCCACTGTCTCTTCCACATTCCTGTAGTATACCGTTTGATTTGACTTCTCCCCTGGGATTTTCCTAGGTCTGTTTTTATTATATTATGGCTGCTGGTACCTCTTTTTTGCAAACATTTCCGCCTTTTAATTACCAACTATACCTTGCTACCATGCTATGGTGATCTGGCGTCGCTAGTTCCTAAGTTATGTGGTTAGTGCCAATATCTCCTCTTTTATGTTTCATCTGCTTCCCTGTGAATAGTTCTCTGGTGATTGTAAGGATCAAAGAGATGTCCTGGTAGGGTCAAACTTACTTACTTACTTACTCTGGTTTATTTCGTATAGAAAAATCCAACTGTCATCTACCGGGTTAATCTGACGGAAAGTAATCGTAAATTATGTCGCAGAGTCAAAAACACTGTATAGGAATTAAAGGTTGTCGGTGAACTACAGCTGGTCGCACATTGTTGTGTGTGCAACA